GGGGGGGGGGGGGGGAATAATCCCCCATTTCCCTCGGGAGATATTAACTATTTTTACTCTTTATAGTTCAAACTGCTATTTAATTTTACCCATGCACAACCTAACTGCTACTAGGAAGTGAAAAATCGTCATTGCCCATGTTTATTTTTCCCCATTTCTGCAATACCACAGCCATTTTTGGAAGCGCTGTCAGGTGTTGTGGTCACACTTGAAGCTGGCAGGAGAGAGAATGGCAGATCGGCTTTTCAAGGAGACTAGAGAAGAGGTCAGCCCTGTAGAGAAAGTATCTACCTGAAAATAACCCCCTTCTCCTATGTTTACCCAATTCAGGGCACCCCCTGCTGCCAAGTTTGCGAAGTAAAACCAGTACCAGCTAAGATGGAGATTACTCAGCCTGCCCTCTCACTGTACCCAAATCCATCACGGCAACTGTTGAATTGCTGCTGCTCCTGGAACAGCAAGGGCGACCAGGGAAGCAGTAATCTGATCACCTACTTGCATGAAAAATTTAGACCACCACCAGTTTTGAGAGCTCCTCATTAGAGATCTGATGCAACCAGAGCAATTCCCCGTTTTACACGTGTTATTCAAGGAAACTGGGGATTTGAATGAAGGTCGTGTCCGCAATTCAAAACATGTCAGACATGCTTCTTTTTGTATGCATGATAACTGGGACCAGTAAGGTGTCCCTGCTCCCTGTGTGGCTATGTAAACAAGCTGCTGAGGGTCTCTATCATCTGAGTATTAAGCAGTAACAGCTGTTACATGAAGTCAAAGAAGAGGAACAGAAAAAAAAAAGCCAACATCAACCAAAATACAGAGGTTCTTTGCACCTTTCAGGAGTCCTAGGCATTAAACCAGCACACATGTTACACAAGGGCAGGACACCAGTTCTTGTAAAGCCAATTGCTACTGCAACCTTTTGAAAGAAATTACTCAGATTATTAACTGGCTTCTACCTCTGTTTGATTTTACCTGGGCTAAACATGTTGCTTCTACAATTCACTTAGTCCTGGCGGATCCAGGAAGCGAAGGAAAAAGATAGCAACTAAAAACATTCTTGCGCATTTACCAGTCTTCCCAATCCTTGTAATTGTTCTACTATATTATTACAGAAGCAATATTTTAAAAATGAATTTAAGTCTGATCTGCACACTGATAGAAGAAGTAATGAGGACATGTTACCTGGGAGATTAACATAATGTTACAGGAAAGAATTTAATTACTTTAAGAGCAAGTGAAATGTAATAACAGATCTGAGTAACAGTTTAGAAAAAAAAAAATCAGAAAGCAGTTTATTTGGAAGTGCACTTGCTAACATAATTCTGTAAGTACCTGTTTCCATCAGCTGAGAATTAAGCTTGGTTAGCATCTGGAAACGAGCTAATAAACCCCTTAAATGCCTTTCCTCCTTCACATCACACCCCCTATTGACAGCCCACAGGTACTTTTCAAATCAATAATTTCTTTCCAATAAACAGTATTAGTAAGACACAGTAGATATTAAAAACAGAAAAGTAATGACGACCTTTCATTAACACTGCATTACATCTGTATGGTATACATTCAATGAAGAGTATAATTTTAAAAACAAAACAAATCCCCCGAAAGCCAAAAAGCAAACAACCTCCCCCCCAACCCCAAAACTAGGTATTTTTGGGCCAAGGGTACGGTTCAGTGTCTATAATGGAGAACACAGCAAGCAAAACTGAGATGGAGAACCAGGACACTGTCAAAAGAAGCTGACAAAAATAACTAAGATACTACAAAACAAAAGCTAAAAGAATGTAAAAGCAGCTCTTAAGAGACATTCATACAACAACAGAACAACGTAACATCCAAACCAAAATACAATGATCTTTGTCCCCAAAGGCTTTCAGTTTAGTAACATGTTTACAATTTCAAAAATCAAATCAGGGCATTGATTCAGGTAAGACAGCTTGGTGAGAAGTTTTTTCTCAAGCAAAGGAGAAAAGAAGATATATTCTGTATAATGTGAACAGCAAGGGAGGAAAAAGAATGAAAAGAAGAGATACATCCGCACACAGGTGAACTACTACATGAAACTCTGCAAACTAAGAACTGGGTATTTGAGTTTAAAATCCAAAGAACAGAACTTTAAGGACATCAGCCTGAGAGACCCCACAAGAAGGGTAAGAAACAAATAGCTTTTGTTTAAAGATAGCCAATTGTCAAGAGAAATAGACTCAGCGCAGGGATACAGTCTTTCCTTTATATGGTAAAAAGAATAACCTCATCTGATTCCATTCTTGTTTAGTAAGCACAAAACAATTTTCTCCAGAACTGTGTTTTAAGCGCTGATCAGTCATAAAAAGATTATAGAAGTATCCACATATCTGTTAAGATGATTATCCCCAAACTAAAAAGTAATAATGGCTTTTACATCGTATTAAATCGCCCCATGTTCTATTAAATATACCCAAAAGAAGTTGCAGACTTTTCAAAAGCATGTAGTAAAAAAAACTCTAAATGAAATATTGATTAATACTTACTTGTTACAGTGATGTTTGAGATGTTTCCTATAGCTGTCTTCTTGAAATAATACATCCGGATTACAGGTGGTGAGCCAATCGGCGTCTTGCAGCATTGGCTGTGAACTCTGAGCTTTTACTTTTTTGCCTTTCCTCCCTCTGGGCACTGGTGCAGACAGACCTACATAAAACCCCAGTATTTCTTATACAATCTGGATAGAAAAGTTCTCACCCCAAACTGCATTACAAACACACATTTAAAGCTAAGTATCACTGCTGTATTATTTGTTTTGCGGGTAACACAACCACCAAAAACTGAACAGCAACATAATTCTGTACAGAAAATTGCAAATAACAAAATCAACCAAAACTTTCATGAAAATTTAGGTGTGAAGATTTCAAAAAATCAGAGCGCTAGCCAGAAAATGGTGTTATATAAATATTTCTTGTAAAAACTCTCATGAATCTCAATGGCCATAAGGAAACAAGCTTTCTGATTTACGGCAATTTGAAAGAGTAACTCCAGCAGTAGGTGCCACTTAAAAATTACGCTAGAGTATTTGTTCAAAACTGATTTAAGGAAAAGAGCACTGCATTCTACAAAGTGTCTGAGGGAGACTTCCCCTTTAAGTACGGACCAAGTCAAAGCCCACCTTACTCATAAAATCTGACAAGATCCTACAACATGTCAGAATGGTTATAGTTTAAACTAAATACATAGCATGACTGAAGCAATTCTTTCCTATTTACTAGCATCATTATTTGATTGTGGTAGACATACCGGAATGATTAACCAAAGCTCGAGTTTGCCCATCTGCAGTTGGAGTGATCAGATCCCAGATGAAACTTTTGATATTTTCATCCCCTTTGTAATGATTAAGACAATATACCAGGATAGTCCGGCAGATGGTTTCCACATCTTGTTCTGTTAGCTGACGTTTATAGCGCCCATGTGAGAGGATGTCAGTCCATCGACCCCAGCTATAAGAAAAATACGTTCAATACAACAGCCAGGGCACTGGTATTTTAATTTGTGACTTTCAATTTAACTCTTAGTACCCAGCAAGTTGGGACCTCCTGTGTTAGCACTAATGCATTTCGCATTTGCAGGCTACATCAGGGAATCCAACCTCCAGCACCAAAGAGTTAAGAATGTTTATTTTACAGAACAGGCAATAAGTTCACTGCTCGTAAAGCTGCAATTGAACTACACTCAAAATAATAAAGTACATATGTTTAACTCTAATAGTTCCAGTAAGCTACGAATAGGAAATTCAACCAATTCCTACAATCATGGGATTTGAGGAATCATTCTTATTTTGATCCTGAAATCCATTATTAGCAATTGCTGCATGCAACTTCCTAAAATACAGACAGTTATGCTGAAGACCACCGTGTTAGCAGTCAAATCTAGCTACTTGCTTGCAAAGAGACAAAAATCAAATTGGTAAATCCAATGGGGAAAAATATAGAGTATCAAATAGCTGAATTCAAGTGGCACCAAAATACCAGAATCTATGTTGAAAATCTCTAGATTTGACTGTTGATTTCATAACCACATTGTTCGTTACAAATACACTTTGTTATTCTCCACAACACTTCAAAAAGAGAGAGTAAACCTTGGTAACTCATGAGTTCTTTACCCTATGAGAAACCAAAACCAAATATTCCATCATCATCAAACTACGTATCTTGCCAGTGAGCTCATAGCCACCCGAGACATACTCCGATACTTTAAGCTAAATAATGCATATATAAGCACCTTTATGTATCAGCTTAAAATCTCACTGCCATGTATACAGCATAGTGAGGTAAAGGTTACACAGTAAGAGATTATGTGAATGTGTCCAAGAGACGGATGAGTTAATTTCTGTACATCATTTCCGTATTTTCAGTTCTTTAGCTACAATCAGTATATTTAATCTGTATATCCTTACCCATAAACCAACAAGTTCTTCTCCACCCTGAAACATTCACTTCTTGCATAACCTTGTGATTTGTCCTGAGGCCTACGGGGCTTTGTGCTAGGCTTTTCTTCAGAATCACTTTCCAGGTCTGAAAACTCCATCAGCTCATCCTCTTTGACTGCACTGTAGAGTCTGGTTTGCTTTCTTATTCTTGGTGTATCAATAACTAGGTTATTCTAAAATGAAAGCAAAAATGTAAAAATTTAGGGGGGGGAAATCTTCAATTTAATTGTACTAGGAACTATTGTAAAGTTCTTACCCTTCCATTTAAAGCATCGATATCCAGCTCAGCTTTCTTTGCCCACTTCTGCCAAAAATTAGGGTCATCCAAGGAAATGTCTGTCCTGTTCCCAGATGCAACAAAACTAGCCTAGTAAATGTGAAAACACATGCATTGGTTTCTTAACTGCATGCTACAAGGAATTTCTATTTTCACTAGTAAATACAACACTTAGGACTTATAAAAAGTAGTAGTTTCAAGAAAGAAAAAAAAGGTAAGCCTGGAAACTATCATGATGGGAAATACAGATATGCCAACATTTGTGAGGAAAACATCTGAGACAAGTACACCAAAAAACTAAATTGACTAGAAGGCAATTTAGTCCTCCTTCCATCTATCCTGGTCACAGTTTATTAATTTCCCTGAATGCCAATGCACACCTTTGCAAACGTTGAGCCTTTTCCTTCAGATTCAATAGTAATTGTGTGCGTTCGCCTTAAGAGAATCTGATCAATATCCTCTTCACAAAACTTTGACCCTTCATCTTCCTCATCCATCAGAGCACCATATGCCCCCTTTCGAAGAAGATCTTCTATTTCTTTCTTAGAAAGCTGTTGCACCTGTAACATGTAAGAAAAGGGGGTTGGGTGGTTTTTTTTTTTACATCAGCCACTGTGTACACCTGACAGCATAATCAGACTGATTGTCATCTTATTTGGCATTTTAAGAACTGAAACTAAGATAATGTGGTGTCGGTCAATTAAACATTCATGATGAAGTCACCTTTAAAAGAAGGATATGAACAACAATATTCACAGGGTGAAGTTACATGAGTGGTTTAAATGATTTCATAGTTCATTGTCACTGAAAACCTTCACTTTAGCTCTGATGACTACTGAACTCCTGGGAGCAGATTTAACTTACTAATCTGACAAAAAGTTAAAGCAAAAAAAGTCCAAAGCAAAAAGGCTCCATCAGAAAAAACTGACCGGAAGAAGCCCAACATCATAGAATCATTATGGTTGGAAGAGACCTCAAAGATCATCAAGACCAACCGTATACCTCTGATGCCACCATGCCTACTAAACCATGTCTTGAAGTACCACATCTAAATGTTTTTTTGAACACCTCCAGGGACGATGACTCCACCACCTCCCTGGGGAGCCCGTTCCAATGCCTAACAACTCTACCAGTGAAGAAATTGAGACCATTTCCTCTCATCCTATCGCTAATTACCGGGCAGAAGAGCCCAGCCCCCACCTTGCTACACCCTCCTTTCAGGTCGTTGTAGAGGGCGATCAGGTCTCCCCTCAGTCTCCTCTTCTCCAGACTAAACAACCCCAGCTCCCTCAGCTGCTCCTCGTAAGGCTTTTTCTCCAGGCCCTTCACCAGCTTTGCTGCCCTGCTCTGAACACGCTCCAGCAGCTCAATGTCCTTCTTATACTGAGGGGCCCAAAACTGAACACAGTATTCGATGTGCCAGGATCAACACAATGTAAAGTGTGGAATGGTGAGAACGGATGAGGACTGAGGGAACATGACTCCACCTGCCACCTTTTGGCAATACGGAAGCCATTAGGCTGAGTCACTTCATGTAGCCTTGCCCTTAATTAACCCTACTTTAAAATACATGCCGTACTCCATCTGAAAACCACTGTTCTCCAGTTAAAACGCAAACAAGCAAGAAAAGTGTTACACATTCATAGCATTTGTTGATCATGCACCTTAATACATTAATTCTCACCCCATTTGTAGCGTTTTCTCTTCCACTCATAGATTGTAGCACAGCTTTATCAAGGCCAAGCTTCAGGCTAGCTTTGTCAAACATTTCTCTTTCGTAAGAATTCCTTGTTATCAACCTGTAAATTTTCACTGATTTGCTCTGTCCTATTCTGTGACATCGTGCTTGAGCCTGATGAAACAAAGACAGACACTCAGTTACAGGAAAAAAATTTTTAAAATAATCAATACAGAGAACTTACATTAAAAGTTATTGCTTTCAACAGAAATAATAATCTTTATGCAAGAAATAATAATCTTTATCCCCTTACGAGAGGGACAACAGATAATTTCTCTTGTAGGTGAAGAAGATTTCACAGCAAAAAGGCAAAGAAAAATTTTCAGTAAAATCACCTCTTGCAATATTACCTGGAGGTCATTTTGGGGGTTCCAGTCTGAATCAAAAATGATGCAGGTATCAGCAGCAGTAAGATTAATGCCCAAGCCTCCTGCCCTTGTACACAGCAGGAAAACAAATCTATCAGAATCAGGTCTTGAAAACCTGTCAATAGCTGCCTGACGCAAGTTGCCTCTTACTCGGCCATCAATTCGTTCATATGGGTACCTGAAATAAAGATGCATTATAAGGAGAACTTTACTGTAATGGCATTGTTTCTTTGTAAGAATATGCAATAAAAGGAAAAGGAAAATATGCTACTATAGGGTCAAAAGAACTACAACAAACTGAGCAACTGCTCCTCTATTCACTAACTTCACCAGTGGAAGACATAGTACTTTGTCTCCTGCTTTGCATGTTTTGGTAAAGAACAGACTCTCGCTCCAAGGAATGAAATAAACATTCAGGCTTAAGCTAAAAAACTCCAGACCCACCAAAATATTTAACTGAGTAGTAAACTAAGAGGTTTAAACTCGAAAGAAAAATCTCAGTACTTGCAACTTAACAGGTATGCTTCTCCCTTTAGCCAGATCACTACAAAAAATACTGTAAAGTGTTTGAATTTCATCTCTTTTCAATATAGATTACTCACAGGTTAAATACTGTGGCCATTGAGAATAGCACAGTTTATTTAGAATTGTATTATATTGTTGCTCTCACCGTCTTTGAATGAGGTAGTCTTCCAGTATGTCCAAGCAGCGCACCATCTGGGAAAAGATAAGCACCCTGTGGCCACCAGCCTTCAGTTTTGGCAGCAGCTTGTCAATCAGTACTAGCTTGCCAGCAGCCTGGATCATTGCCTGGAGCTGAAAATCTGGAGAGTCGGCATTGTGTGTTTCTTTAAACTCTTCCAAAATTTTCTCTTCAGCACCTGCAAAGATTGGACAGCAATACATGAACACTGCAAAGGGTTTTATTAATAAACAATGAGCTCGCCTTCAATACCCTATAGAAACTGCAGGAATGTTTTAAGCATTATGAGAATAAACATTTATAAAAAATATTAAGCTTAAATTTAAACCAAACATGTAGACAAATATAGCATAAATAAAAAGTAACTCTCAGCATTCATTTTTTTTCCCCCCACTCTTTTAAGCAGGAGTAAACCCTTTCCTAAATAAATTCATACAATTATTTGATGCACACAATTTAATGAAATATTAACAAAAAAAGATGAAAAAAGTAAACCATATTCCCACTGATCCAATCGATTTTCTGTTTTTAAATGCAACATGAAAGAAAAAATATCTCATTTCCACAGGAAAATACTAGGAATACAAATCACATTTGATGTCTCTGCCTCCAAAACCAAAACCAGGCTTAAGCATGCGCATGACCTGGACCTGCTCCTTCCATTATTAATTATACAATCAAAATACATACAATGAAAAAACTAATGTGAGGAGGAAGGGGAATAAGCAGCTGTGAAATTATTTTACCTTCTATTTAGCTTTCTTTTCTCACTGAATGTGGTTTTTTTGTTGTTTGACGAAGCTACCCAATGTATATATTCTTTCCAGAATTAGTCAAAAGTTCTTTCTTGCCACTCCCTTTGCCTATGCACAGCAGCAAATACTTCCTTGCACTGCTCATTACCTGCAGACTACAGACCAAGTTCAAGTTTTCTCTTCAACCTCTCCTATGCTTTTATTCCATTTTTTTAATGTCACTTCTACGAACAGTGGACTATTCCAAGAATTATCGGATTACTATTCTTGGCTATGTAAAAGGTTAGGAATCTTCGTTCTAAGCTTATTTCACATCCAAATAAACCCTTTTTTGGAGCTTTTTCAGTCCCTCTGTTGTTTTCTTTTTTTAAAGAAAACACAGTTTATAAAGTCTTTCTGCTTTGTATAATATTCAGCTTCAATACTGTTTTTGAATAACACAAGGCAAGGTGGGAGGGTTGGGGGAGGGGGGAACAGCAGCTTACTGCCAGACTTCTGCTGAGCATCTCTCTCCTATCCCAGTTCTAAGGAGATGCCTGTAAACAAACACGCAAACGCATCCTCCCTGCGCGATCGCTGTTTCAGCGCCTGCTGCAATGTGGTGTCTTAACTAGATACCACCCTAAGCAGGTTGTCTGACAGCTTTGTGTTACTCACTACACTTGCACTACGAGCTTTTAGAGAGTTTAACGGACTCAAGATGTGACCATACTAGAAGGTACTTTGACGTCCCTCGATTTTCCTTATCTGGATTCCCTTCTCCAAGCATTACTGATCCTAATAGCTCGCACATAAGAAAAATAAACCCATGTGAAAATAGTACAATCAGACACTCCTTCAAGTTCCCTTCAATCATGTCACTTCCCATCTTGGAAACTGGGCAGAGTTTCAGGTAGTAAATCTCAGATTCTGTACCGAGTTTACACAGTTTCAGGATATAGTAGGCTGTCAAGCAGTTCATAGACAGTAACTTCAGTGATCTTTCTTGGTTACGCCATTTATTTCTTACTCAACTGTGATATCCAAATTTAAGTTTCACTACTATGAACTAAACCAATATGCAAACACAGCATCTGCACAAGCGAACCACCTAAGCCCAGCAAACCCACAAGCAGGTGTAATGAATGATGAATTTTCAGTATGAGAGTTTGCTCTCAGCAAGACTCCCTTCAATAACAGACCAAGACCTCCAAAAATCTGCTCTTTCAATACCCTATCCAATAACACTGTAGCATGTGGAAGCAGAGAGGCACTCCCCACCGCTGGTTTTTGGAGACAAAGAGGAATGATGTATAAATACTTGAGAATGGTTGCTATGGAGAAAACAAGGAGTCCAGCTCTAAGAAAAGTGACAGACAACACTTTGCTCAAGTTGGAGAACACACAAAACGCAGTAACTCCTTCTAGAAGTCTACTCAAAGACAGTCTCAGCAGATCACCACTCTCTGCTCCACAGAGGAGATCTACCAATCAAGAAACACACAGAAAACCCACTCCACATTCAATTTCTACCATACTACTTCCACCATAAAACCTTCTATGGCTCTTAACTGAAGATTATCTAGAAGACTTGCTTGCAACTTTTACGCGAAACAAAACATACAGTGTTCTCCTCAGATATTCAAATATAGATGTAGCACTGCTTGCTCACAAAACCTGTAAACTTGGAAGAAAATGAGAAGGATTCAGAGACACCTTTATAAAAGTAGTTGTCTTGAGAACTTGCTACTGCAACAAATCATTCATCAGGAGAACACACTACACAATGTTATGTACTAGCACCGCAAGACCTCTTGGTAGAACTACAACAAACTTGTGCCATCACTCTAAGTACAAAGACGTTAATTACCAATCAATAAAATAAAACCTCAGGCTCAGACAACTACAGGATGTAAGAGTATTTTCTGTCCTAGAATTACAAAGGATGTATTTGTTTAGTTCCATCTCCACACTAATAATTGTCAGGATTTATTTATTTTTACCTCAACTCTGAAGGTTTGACTCACCTGCATGACACCAAGCAAGTCCAAATGTTCAAAAGTCACAAAAACGTTATAATGGCAAAAGCATGCAAGAGACAAACCCACTTCCCTTTATTAGGGTTAAGATACAGTTATCAAAAAATACTTGACATTTTCTATATAGCCACCTGGACTTCAGCAGTCTCTAAGAGACACTAAATGATACAAGACTTGTGAGGAAAAAAAAATAAAAAAAATCACTGCTGTAGGCAACCCTGCAAGCACTACTCATGAACTCTGTTTGACAAAACAAAGTAGCAGCAAAATACTCAGTTTATTTCTTTTAGCAAACATGAAATAAGGAAAAATAAAGGCAAGGTTAAAAAAAGCTGAAAACCAAGAAATGTAAAAAGCATCAAGTTCAGAAGCTTATAACCTGAACATCCTAAACTATTTTCTGATAAACTCATTTATATAATGGATTAACTTCAAAACAAAGAATCAACAAACAAAAAAACCCTAGAGCAGAACCACAACGCTACTTTACTGTATGCTCATCTGAGTTTAGAAACTGAGTAGCCCACCAGCATGGCTGGGTTGAAGTACTTTGGAGTAACCCTGTATCGTGTCTTTGGAATAATTACTTGTGCATGAAATATAACTAGATGTCATTTCGTGAATCAGTTTAAGCATTTTTTCCCCCCTATTTAAACAAAAAATGTCAAGGAAAAAAGTAAGCACTGCAATATGGAAGTCATACAATAAAAAAAACCTGAAATCACATATGGCGCTTGAATAAAACAGACTTTCATCATGAAGCTTATAACCAGCATTAACCCAACCATAGCATAAATCATACACAGTACAGAAGAGGAGTTGGGAAACAAGAAACCAGCAGAATGCAATCCCGTATGGAGGTTTGTGTTACATCCTCAAAAGGAAGATTTGATTTGACGAACACATACAAGTTTAGCATAATTCAGACAGCTATAGCTAGCCAGTTCATCGTATGGTCAGTCACTGGAACAGGGTCCCCAGGGAAGCGGTCATGGCACCACGACTGTCAGAGGGCAAGGAGCATCTGAATGAATGCTCTTAGTCATATGATTTAGTTTTAGGTAGTTCTGCAAGGAGCAGGGAGTTGGACTTGATGATCCTTACAGGTTCCTTGCAACTTGAGATATTCTATGATTCTATAGTACTTGCCATAGATAATCCTGATGTAAAACCAACAGCATCACACTGAAAAACGGTTTTTGTTTTAAGTCTAAGATGACAATCATACACATCTTTTTCTGACTAGTTAAATTACAAAAACGAACTGACAACATGTGGCCATAAAAGCAGGTCTGATCATCCTTTCTTACCCCACAACTTTTATTCAGAAATTTTAAGTTACTATCTCATTAATGTTCTATGGCAAGAAAGCAAGCAGCTGCTAACTGTAACTCTGAAGGCAAAAATACCGTATTTTTGCAGCATCCAACAACCTACATAATAACTGAAGTCTTGTTTGTCAGCAATAACAGAAAGAAAAACTTGGTAATACCAACACTAACTCTGTCAAGGCTAGGAAGCCTTGGAAAAAAGCAGCACTGTTGTCTTCAAAAGCAATGCTGGCCTCGCTAGTAGATATTCATACCCAAGAGAACCTAAAAGGTTCTCTCACTCTTCTACTTAAAATAAATGAATAAATAAAAAGGCACACTAGAATAGAATTTCTAACTTACTGAACTCCCTTACAATCATTTTTCAAATGAAAAGAAAAACAAGAGGCCTACCATTAATAAGGTATGGATGATTGCAGCATTTTCTTAGTTCCATCATAGTGTTTAAAAGATTAGGTACATTTGCCTGACCTCCACCCTTGGAAAGAAACGTGAAATTCTTTTCAAGAATAGCACGATAGTATTTCTTCTGAATATTTGTCAGCTCAACTTCAATGATGGTTTCCTCTTTGGGGGCCAGGTTCTTTTCTACATCCTCCTTGAGACGTCTCAGCATCATCGGTTTTAAAATAGCTTGGAGTTTTTGCACCTAGAAAATACATGTTTAATAAAAAACTGAATTAAAGCTGCAAGGCTTCAAATACTTATTTTTCAATTTCCTTAATTCTAAAACCCTTGTTTCCTACGCCAGATCCCAAGTAGAGAGCATTTGTAAAAAACTCCTTCCTCAATGACCTACAGACTGAGTTCTCCTTGTTAACTCAGTGACATACACACTTCTAAAGTCAATTTTCAGCGTGTAACCCTTCTGTTTAGTGAATGTTATTAAACAGATCTCACTTAGACCTATGTTTCCACACAAGGATAGTACTGCACACCAGTCACACAGAACTAACCCTAAGTAATCGCAGCTATATAAGCAAATCTGATTCTAAGATCTAGATTTGCAGTTAAGTTCTACCTACTAAACATAGTGTTTAACTATTTTTTTCCTTTATGTATCTGCTCCTAATTATCTTCTCATTTCCCCAGTTCTGACATCCATTGAAGTAGAAAATATTTAGGCATGGTCTCAAAGTGAAAATATTCTATTTCTGTAAATTTTTAAACACGCTGATAATTTTCAGTGTCTCCAGGTTTTGCAGCATATACTTTAAGCCATATCCTAAATGCGGGAGGGAGGAAGAAATGTTCATTTTCCTCAAAAAAATTAGCTAAGTTTTGTCAAGTTTTTGTAAAGTCTCTTACATAAAAAGCTCAAACATATGCCATATAGAAAAAGATTGGTTTACGTTGTCTCTCAAAGTATAAACCACCTCAGTGTTGAAGAGCTGGTAATTCACCCTGAAATTGGTCATCATCTGTTGATGCAGAGCTGCACAGCAGAAACATGAACAAAAGACACTTTCTCCTGAATTCACATTATTCCCTTAGTAATAAAAAGCAACTTCAGGAGAAAAAAAGATCAATTACTACGTAGGGATGAACAATTAAAAAAAAATACATGGAGTAGGACTGCAACAAATGGAGGAGAAAACCCAAGTCATTAACACATAATAATCTCTCCCATCACTTGAAAGATAAATCAAATTCCAAAGCATCTAATGGTGCGTCAGCAGAGAAGGCAGTTCTTCCAAAACTTCTTGGCCCAAGCAATCCAAGCTCCAATTCTGCTCATGGCTGATGGCATTATTTTAGTAATATTTCCATGCATGGCTTCAAAAATTTCCAGTTCTGCTCTGCTGACATTCTGAGCTGGTCAGACAAAAGCTATGCTGAGAGTTAGGATATATTAACTCCAGCTCAAACACTATGTCAACAGGACTACATGGCTTCTGGATCAGAGCTGGCTCCCTTCCAATCGGGTCAGAGTCCATTCTGACTGGCATGCAACTGCCTGCACAATCTGTGGAAAAATATCCTATGACTCCCTCAGGACATGCTATGATTTTTCCAGGAGGTAAAGGGCTGGGGGGGGAGCCGTTTTGTAATTTAGACTATTACCTGTGAAAGAGTTGCTCTCATAGAAAGTTAACAAATTCAAGCAGTCCAAAGTTAGAAATACCAGAAATTGAACTTTCAGACAAAACCAACATAAAGTTGCACACAAAAACACATGCAATTGTGAAGTTAGATTATCATAGAGTGCAAAGGGCCAAACTGAGGTGCTTAAATTAAGATGCCATGCTTCAGTTAACTCCTAATGCTAAGGTGATTTGACTGTTACCTATTGACTTAAAACATTTTCATAGATACAAGAAGAAATTTAAGTTTTATATATGATCAGAGGCTTTTACATGTTAGATCCAAAACATGCTGCGTTGAGGGTCTTTAATTTTGCACTGATTTATGCATTTCTTTTATTAGATAGCTTGAGAAATCTGTTTCTGAGCCCAAAAAAACCTCCCTCCATTTGGTTACCTCTTGCTAAACTAGGTTTCAAATACGTTCCTGCTTGCACAGAAGTCACTGACAAAACTCTCAGATGTTAAGTCCACAGAAGTTACAGAGGACAGTCTCCTCACTCTGATACTGATGTGTAAGGAGGAATGTCAACTGACAAGTTAATTCTTAGAGTGAACAAGCAATTCTAGAAGTATTTTCATCCAGCAACCATTACAAGACACCCCACCCCTATTTTTAAACACCACATTCTAACAAGGGGAAGCTTTCCCCGTTTCTGCATGACCAATGAACAAAGGGTAAAAAAAAAAGTGATAAGGCAAAGTGACTTTTGATCAAAAGCAAAAAACTTAACAAAATGAAAACAAACTGGGATAAAACTACTGTGGTCTTCCAAAAAGTAAATAGGTATTCTTCATAAAAACAAGTAATGAAGGTCTTACGTAATAAAATTGATAACTTCACAATAACCAACTAGAAAAGTAAGTGTGCAGGAGAAGTTTACCTGTTCTTCAGTTTTCAGATCACCAAATTCTTGCATGAATGTGGTTTCTGATGGGAAGCGACCTGGTTCCAAGAAGTGAAGCAAGCTAAATAGCTCTTCTACAGTATTTTGCAAAGGGGTTCCAGTAAGCAGCACTTTATGCTCCTGAAAGGTGAAGAAACAGTTGCCTTGGAATCCATCTAAATTCATTTTCAATAGAGAAATACACAAAACTGCCCCTTTTTTTGCCTATATGCATCTCTCATCTTTGCTTCCTCTCAACAGAGCATGCGACTGGCAGAGACAAGAGTAAAAGCTACATGTTGCTTTAGAAGAGGAGCTCAGAGAGGTTAAGCAACTAGCCCAATGTCAAACATGAATTTAGTAGTAGAACAAGAACTGGAGAGAGAAGTACTGTATCTCCCTCTATAGTCACACCTATAAGCTCAGCTTTCCTCTAATAGTAACTATAATAAGGAAAATAAATTGTATACAGCATTTTTATAAACTTTGATTCGTTAAGCCTCAAGACTCCTTCAAGAAAAGTATTAACCCACAGGTCACCAGTGCACGTGTACACTAATGTTTACATCTCTTTATTCTTATCAGAAATAAGACGGTTTGAGTTCCAGGTGTTAACTTTAACTTAACATGACTGCATTCCTCTCACATTTTTAAAGAATCTTCTGACCAGAAAAAAAAAAAAAATTGCCTTTTAAGTGGTAAATAACTTTAAAAACCATCATCTTATTTTTCTCTGTGTGCTTAATACATGTATTTTGTGCACATAACATAACACGTATTTATGTAAGCATCAGAAATAAACTCACTTCTCCCTTCCTTAGTCACTCTGAAAGAACACCCTTAAGGCCCCACAATAAATTAACATTACAGTTGACATGAATGCAGAGCAGTTTAATTCTCTCACCCGTATTCGGCCACCTGGCAACATTATACCTTTAAATAAATGTCTATGTGAAGAAGCAACTATGGAGTAAGTCCCATGAAAAGAGAGAAAGGAAAGAACAAATTTATCTTGATTCTCTTAACAGAATCCCCATAATTCTAAGTCTAAATCAATGACGAGACTTATGAAACATCAGCACTCCAAAACTGAAGGTATGCCTATGCTTCCAGGTATTTTAAAGACTCTCTCAGCTGCATTCCCTCATTCTGCTTAGCACTTGATGATTTTTACTTGAGAAGAAAATCTTTTATTTTACTTTTTGCTGAAACCATAAAACCACAGAAGACGCAAATGTAAGAGATGTACACACTGACCAGGTCCATCATCTTGAGTCCTTCCAAAAGCTTACAGTTCCTGTTTTTCAGCCTGTGGGCCTCATCGATGACCACGCAACGCCATGGAATGTTACGCAGCTCTGGGCAGTCAGTCAAGATCATTTCAAATGTTGTAATAATGGCATGGAACTTGTAGGACCCCTTTATCACACGACCCTAAAAAGAACAGCAAAAGTTAAACTCCCTGGCAAAGAAAGGAAGTACATTTGTTTCATCTTCAAAATTCATTCTTTAAAAATACAGAACAGTACAATGGGTAAGGTATTTTAAGTAAATGAAGCCATTATTGCTGACTCAATGAGGGAACTTACAATTAGTAAGTTTACCGATGGCTTCATGCTAGCTATGTTTTTAATCCTGTAAAAAGGCCCACAGAATCACTGCACATTCATTACGAAGATGCTATACAAGTATTTCAGTCATAACTCATATGGATTATACTAATGCCTTGAAGCATTAATGTATTGCTACAATATTCAAATAAGGTTTTCAGACTTTGTCAAGAGAGTTTTCTTTTTCTTTTAAATTAAAGGTATGTGACGGTCCTCCCCCAAAAATCCAAATAAGCCAGAATTACATTAAGGCTTTATTTTTATGACTATTAGAATATTTTGCTCCCAATAAACAGGAATTTTTTCCTGGTGGACATCAAGTATCCCAAACATCTACACTTCTAGCAAACAGCTTTGAAAAGAAGCAAATCTCTGCACTCTTAAATGGAGGATGTGTATCTCTGTGTACATTTCCTTGATATTTTTGAAGATTAGTGTTAAGGAAAACTCAACAGGATGATTTAGTTGATGTCTGGCACCATATTCACTATTTATTTGGTTAGTTGAGGGTCTTATTTTCCGGGCTGATACAAACACTTTATTTTAAAAAAAAAACAAAACCCAAAAAACCTGAATAAACTTTACTCAAGATCATGAAATCAACATCTGACATTATACTGTACTTCTTCCCAAGGTTGTTCAAAGAAAGATGTAACGTGGTATCTCCAGTGCCACTGGGTCTGTGCAGAAACACTGTCTCTCTAAGGACAGGGCTCACACAAGTTCAAAGCTGTTCTGTGTTTTCAAAGCAGGACTATGTCGTGGGTTGTATATTGAATACATTTCAAAAGAAACGGGTATTTTACAATAAGGTGACCATTTCTTCCTTCAAACAGGTGCAAGCCTGGATCCTTTTATAAGCGACCTGCATATAATCCTCTCCAAACTGTGGGGATCAGAAGTGGCTACTGCCTCAATAAAATGATTGGAAACCTGATATCCTGAACTCAGCACTAAATCTGCCTCTGCACATCAAGAGTATTTCAGAAGAAGTAATGACCTGACCAACACTGCTTTTGCATGGCATAGTCCAGAAACATTTATCATTTAACATTTAGTGTTGAAGTCACACCACTGCAGAAATGTATTTTGTTATCGACTACTCTCCAGCTTTTCACAACAACTTGACTCTGGTTACTGGTGCTGAATGAAAAATCACACTACCACAGATGGGGTAGGTGCTCCTTAAGCACACTGTCCCTTATTATTGCCTTTCAAAGCTCAGACTCAGACTTTCTCAACGCTCAATTGTCTTTTTGAGAAACAGGTCAGCTTGAGAGGTCTCTTTTCATGTTGAGACCTAAAAAGCCAAAGATACCAAAGTCTAGGTTGATGTGTTTGGCAAGGGGACTAGAAATGATACTGCCAAAGCCTGCCTTCTTTCTCTCCCTTCTTGTACCCCACTGATGGTACTTTAGAGGATGCCAGACTGAACACTACATGGGGATTCTTTTTGTCAGAACATGAATAGATTCCGCCCCCCTCCCATAACTTGGTTTCTACCATGCGTTTCACAGCTGACAGTCTTACAAAGAATAGAACACAGAAGGTGATTTCATGACACCTCTAAGCTAGCTGCCACCAAAAGGACGAGTTCACTCGATTTTTCCTTTATCCCCAACCATGGCAATTGTCTGATTCTCCTCTTAAGTCAGTTCAGGGAGCAAAGCTAGCACAAAATGACTTGGTTTTCTGTGCCATGAATGCTTTGTCATTATTCACTATGCGGTCAAATGGCTGCCGTGGTCATTGCAAGAGGCAAATTAAGAATATGGCAACAGGGGGAACAAAACTTTCTGGAGCATCTTGCTTCAGAGCCTTTTCGTTGCCTTTAGATCAATGAAATGATATTGTCAAAATAACACTAAGAATCTGCACAGTAAGTGGGATTTTTCTGATTATGTTCCTCGAGGTTTCATGCTACGTAACTGCTGCATCCTAAGGGGAAGAACAGGCTGAGAACAAGCGCTGCTTCAAGACAAACAAACATGATTTTTAAAACAGGGAACACTTCAGTAGAGAAAGTATTTGTATAAAACCAAATTTTAAACTTTGATATAAAATACCAATCTCTGATAAGAAATAATTTTAAAACCAGAAAAAGTACAAATCAATTCCAGTTCATTTGTGTATTATACATCTAGGTAAGAAGCTAAATGTGATTATTATCATAACGAATATAAGCCATTAGATCTCAGTGTAGCAACTGTTATTCAAATCAATCTTCTTTAATAACAGCATATAGGGTTTTGATTTGAAAGTTTCTTTGATAAATTGCTGAGAAAATGGTTATTTTCTAGGCCAAACAGATGTAACTTCTAACTACTATGAATTACTATGTGTTTTTCTATTATATTTAAGTACGTGACTATTTCTGTTTGCCCTAATGGCATGTCAAGTTGTGCCACAGTCATCACCTTCAAAACAGTTTTTACTGAGTTCTTTCCCTGTAAAAACATATTTTATGCTTTGCAACCACCCTCATCGCTTTGCTCCAGGACTCTGGTTTTTCAACACTCGTTTAGAGGACAGGAAGTGAGAACCAGGCAGAACTGGACTACCCACCACATTACTGACAGAGAGAAGAATGCTGTAACTTTTCTGCTCTTTAATAAAGATTTCTTTCCTCCTACACACTCGTACTACACTAGCCCTTTTAACCACAGTCTCACAGCATGAACTCATGTTTAGCTGGTCGTGTGTCATGACACAAAAGGATTCGCATTTGTTTTACAGCCTTCCTAGAACCGAGCTCTCCCTACTCTAAGAATCACCTCTGTTCCTCGTCCACTGATAGCCCTATATTTAGCTATTCTGAGTATTGTTAGCTTGGATCCAGTTTATTAAGTAATATAGCTTACTCTGTATCCATGAACCGTCTTAATTATTTACCACTCTCCCCATCTTTCTGTCATTTGAAAACTTCCTCGGTAATGATTTTATGTTTTCTTTCAGGTCATTGATAAAAGTGTTATATAGCTCATGGACACGAACCAATCCCTGAAGAACTACGCTGGAAATGCAAATCATTTCTCATTTACAATTACATCAAGAAATATCAGTCAGCCAGTTTTAAATCCACTTAATGTGTGCCATATTGATTTTATATCATTACAGTTTATTAATCAAAATATCCAGTGGCATAAAATCAAATGCTTTACAGAAAATTTAAATATATGAATTCACCACTATCACTTCTTTAAGCTCAGCTGGAAATGATACTCCAGAACGTATCAAATCAGGTTGAACTTCCACTCTTTTTTTCTCATAAGTGAAGAGGATTATGTCGTTTTGCAATAATATTCAATGTATGCACATTATTTTCCCTCAATCTCATTTACTCACTCTGTTGATCTTCATAAGCTTCAGTCTTCCAAATAATTTTCTGTTTCTACCCCCAATCTTTTCTGTACCCACTTTCCTTCTCTCCTAAGAACTATTCAACCTGAGCACAGTAACACAGATTCAAAATATATCTGACTTATAAAATCCGATAAAGAAGCATCGACAAGTTTAATTTCTGCAAGCTGGTCTTTTCTTGGAATGGTAGGCAAAGATTGATTTTTAAGCTTAGTTCCAATTAACATAGTTTCTCTATTAAGAATCTTTTCTGCCAGCGCTCCTCAGGACCACAAAATAATGAAAACCTTGCATCAAACAATGAAACCCTGAACACGAGTTGCACCATCTCAGGAACTCTTGGTCCCCCTCCACTTCCAGTTGATCTCTCAGCTACTATTAAAAAGCACTCTCTTTATTAATACATATGCCTTCATTATTAGCTAAAACCTACCATATCAGTACTAAAAACCTAATCGATGCTTAGATTAGTAAACAATAGTAAAGCATATACAAAAAAGAAAGAAAGAAAAATCACGTAGAGCTTTTTACCTGTGGATCTTTGAAATACATTTCATACAACTGAATGGTCCGCCGGCTTGCTTGACTCCCATGATACACAACCACATTCAACTCTGTCCAGGTGCGGAACTCCCTCTCCCAGTTGGGAATTGTAGATAATGGTGCAATAACCAAGAAAGGACCATGGATTCCTTTCAAATATATCTCATAGAGAAACGTAATGGACTGGATAGTCTTTCCCAACCCCATTTCATCTGCTAAAATGCAGTTTCGTCTGAAAACAATAATAAGAACAGTTTGAATGATTTATTCCTAACTTAGAACATAGAATATCAGTAAGGAGCTAAACGAAATAAACCAGAAATTTCTAGAATGGCAAGTTTACACTGAAAAGGTATCATAATCTTCTTGCATTTTAAATAAATGTTATGTTTTGTGATGCAGTAAGTACGAATACATCCACTTTATGTACCTCTCAAGTTCACATGGGGGAGGAAGGGACAGCAGGAGTGTGCACTAACACATATACATGGAAAAGCATTTGTCACAAGAAGCTATCTGAAATATTCATGTTTTATGCAACATTATGTTATCCACCCAAAATTAGTTTGTATATGACTCCTGCAGCAAAAAATGAGATGTGTAAATAAGCTTAAAACCTTGCTTTAGAAGATTACTTTAAAAGGTTATTGTTTCAAATAAGCTACAAAAGCATTTCCAAAGCAGGATTCAGGAGTAACCAATATTTTACGTACGTGTTGTACCAATTGAAAAGAAGCCAGTTTACTCCCTCCAACTGGTATTCCCTGAGTTTGTTATTGTTTTTATACTCCCTGGAACTCTCCGATTTCTTCCAGTCATCGGCAGGAGGTCGCTCCTGTTTCAAATACAGCAAATCCCATTAGTGGTTTCTGAAAGACCACATTACTATTTTCAAATAAAATCCTCTATACGGAGCCAATTCTTACCACACGCTCCATTTCTGGCTCCCTAGACATCAGTTTCTCAAATTCTTCGATCTTAGCTTGGTCGATGTCTTGCTTGAGCTCCCAAGTGCTGTCTTCATAAGGAAGTGAACACCATTTCACCAGATAATGTGTTACAGGCTTTGTTAAGACAAAAATAAGATTACATCACAATTCAGAAAGAATAAAAAGTGTAACCATTTTTACAGGAGATCTGTAGGCTAGATACAATTCAAAAAGCTTTACCAGACCTGAATGTCTGAATCAGCCAAAAGTATAAGCAACACCTTGACAACCTTAATGAAGTAAGATCAGAATGCGGGGAATGCAGGCTTACCACCAAAACGAACACAACACTACATCTGAAATCACTACAGTTAGACTAGAATTTAGAAGTAAAACAATATTTGTTTTCCAACTGTTAAAATTTCTATGCTTTACCACATATTTAAACATTCAATTGTTTTTTCTTATCAGTGTCATCAGAAACTTCCCAGCAAGCCAACCCAACCACCACCATTCACTGATAGAGCAATATGGGAACACTGACACTGCCAGTGAAGCTTTCTGTTCCCCCAGGATCAAAAAGGAATCTCCTGGAAGACAAAGTGATCTTGTTCTGCAGAATGAGTCATTAAAAAGTAAGAAACAGTGAACTGTTTAATATACTCACATTTCTAAACAATAAATTCTAAATACAATGTCTGTATGACTACAGATGCACTAAAAGTTTTGCTTACCTCTCCATTATCATCTGTGCTACGTGAAAAATCCATTATTCGATCAACTTCCACATAATCTGGATTAAAAAGCTCATCGTCAATCTGTTCAAGGAGAGAGGCAAAAATATAAAGATATCTCTATTAGCCCTTCCTGAGAGGAAAAATTACTATATATTTCACCAGGCAATAATATTTTGGGTCACGGTGACATAGAATTTATATTTGGCAAACTTCAACATGTTAATTGAAATGCTACAATTCAGCAAGATCATTCCCCGTGAGGGAATCAGACTTCTCAGACTTTGTTAACTGGGCCTCTTAATTACTGTGTGAAACCTTTTACTGTGAGAGAATGTTTAAGAATATTTTAAATGAAGTGTGAAATTACAATTCACTAATGAGCAATCGAAAAGGCTTATGGCATGCAATGCATTTAGCATTCTTGAAAACTACAGCTTGCAATAAAGAAATTAGAGCCTTGTACACTAAGTGCCTTTGGATTATTTCAACTACAGGAATTGTCTAACTGCTTTATAAGCAAGATTCAAAGATTATTATTTCAAAAACAGAGAAAAGACACTGCATGCATACACAGTTTCTCAAAAAATCAGAATTTGTTATGCTCTTTCTTATCCCTCCAACAACCTACGGGATTCTCTTCTGTACTAAAGGGTTGTGTTTCATTTTATACTTTTAAGATCCCCTCCAATAGAAAAGGCAGACAAAAGGACTAAAGACTATGTACATTTTGAGAGCTTCTTCTAAAACAAGAACAAATTCCAAGTATTTACAAGAACTTGTGACCCACTTGGAAAGAGATTTAAAAAAAATTTAAAAAAAGAAGCAATTCCAGGCATCTTCACTGAGAAGAGACTGAAGTTTTCAATTTGCAACAGGTTTGGTTCAGGTTGAACTATATAGTAAAAATAAATATAAATAAATAAATACAGTAGCACATGAACTTCACCCCCCCCCACCCCCCCTACCTCCCCCCCCCCCACCCCAATAAACAGCATTTTACCAAAAGGCAAGCTTTCATAGACACAAATCAGCAGATCTGGTCTTTTATTGACAGGACCCCTGCCACACTACTGCTTATGGCTCTAAGTGAAATTAAATTGATGATAAAAAGCTTAGAATCCCTAGTGAGCAGCAGCCCGTAACACAGAAAAATGTGATGCATTTTTCTGGCATAATCAGCTTCTGAGGAAAGAGACCTGGTACTGATTCAGTGAGAGTCATGCTTACAATGCAAACAACTAACCACTCATTTTAAGAAAAAAACCATAGTAAAAAGTATACAGTCAGGACAGATCACTTGCGTTTCATAAACTTGCAAGACTTGGATCAAGAATGGTTATACTTTATACCAGAATAAATGCTACTGATATATCACACAGTTGTTCAAAATCTTCTGCTTGTATACAAAACAAGAATTCATAAGAATATTCCTTAAATACCTAAAAGAAAGAAAGAAAGAAAGAACTCATACTTCTGAAAGGAATTTGTTCTGGCCCTGTTTTGCCTTAAACCGCTTAATCTTCTGCTGAATTCTCTTGTCTTTGTCCAGCTCTTCCACAGATGCCCACTGACAATGAAGGTAAGAACTAGAAGATGAAACAGAAAATCTTACTCAAAAATATGCTTCCATTGCATAGTCCTATGTACCCCACTAGTATAGCTAGATCTTTCCAGCACATTGTAATGCCACACTTGGAAAACTGGACACCATCTTCTTCATCACACAGGTTATTACCAAGTCACCTTTACCGAAAGTAACCATACTTACTAATGGAGAAACTTGTCAGTAAATAAAAACAACTCCCACTCAAAATTTAAAATACATACCCCATACATTTAGTGTTTGGCACAAAGCTAAGGTGATTTTTATTTGGCATACTTAAAACATAACTACTATACAAGACATTTATCGTAAATGTCACTATTTAACATCATGTTCTAGCAGAATGGGGTTTTTAGGAGTTAATAAAAATAGGCAAACCTTTTAAATACTAACATGCTATACTCTTTTTTGTGAGAACAGCACTGTAATTAAAAGTTGCTTATGAGTCAACTGAAGTTTTAACACTGATAGAAAGGAAAGAAAAACCCTTGTAAAGGCAGTTCTACGGTAATAATTCATCTTTAAGAAAACACAAAGTAATGAACAGCATCTCTGCCAAAATGTCTAGTCCCACTTTATAAATTTAGAGTCTGTCAAAAGTTATATTGCTAAGGAGTCTAAGACACAAACAGTTAATACAAAAATTACATGCCAATGTAATAAAACTAAAGAAAGCATAATTAAGCTATTAAACATCATGCAATAATCAACAGTGCAAAAAGTACAAAGGTGGCAGCATATTCAAAGTGAAGCCAACTATCTGCAGTTAGCTGCAAGAAACTCACTTTAAGCAAATTTCTGTGTCTCAGATGGAAAATTTGCTAAAATTAAAACACGATATGCTATTTTTCTAAAAGAAAAAGAGAGTTTATCCAGCTGTGAAGTATCTTATTTTAAATACCAATTGCATTGCAGTTTCAGAGCACAGAGGTGAAACATGCTGCTCTCGCCACTATGACATCCCTCTTACGGAGGGGCAGCTATCTGCTGGAATATTGGAAGCCATCTCGTTCGTTATCTTAGATTTTTTGTTGAACTCAAATCTTGGTTTTGAAACAACATTGAGGGTTATTTTTGAGAAGCTTGCAGGCACATTACTCTGCATTGCAGTTAGATCTACACAGCTACATAGGTAAGTGCTCACGAATCTGCACAGTAAACCTTAAAGTTTTTAATAGCAGAGCAATTATATCTACGGATTTCATTTTGGAGACAACACAAATTAAGACAACGCTACTAAACCCAGTACCACCAATGCAAGGTATTTCCCTGTTTGTTTGCCACTGTTTTGGATTAAACAGTAGAGATTTTTTAAGTCGGATAGTAACAGTTACATAATTTACAAAACCAGTTTTTAAAAACTATTTGGAAATTAGGTGAACTTAAAGATAGTAATCAAACCTGTAACTTTACTTACAAGTTTTTGTACTTTACATAGAATTCCTCTATTTCTACCTCCTCTCCATTCTCCATCTATAAGAAAAGAATTATTGAAACGTGAATTAAACCACTAAACAGCCCAATTTAGTTAATGATTAAAACTAACTGAAATACAGAATAAGGTCCCCACACAGAAAGACAAGTGGAGGTGTAGGAAAGTGTTTGTGGGGGGAAGTCACGGGTGAGGAGTTTCCTCCAGCAGCTTACCCACGTACATACTGCACTGCTTACTACAACTTCCAAGACATGAATCATTTGAACTCCTCCCTAACCACATGCAGCTTCATTCACAACCTCACCCCAAATCTGGCTTTCTGCCAAACCCACAGTGTTAAGTAGAAGCCAAGTGTACCATTTTCTCAGGCAGCAGCCAATTAGCAACTGCACTCCTGAATGCCGTATGTATTATTTTTGGCTGGCTCATGGCAACTTTACATTGTGGGTTTTGTAATGTTTTAAAAAAGAGTTTTAAAGGGGGTTTATTCCTCCATATAGTTAATAACTCCAAACAAGAAGCCATATAAAACTAAACCTTATACCTCTGCTAGAATTTTAGTGCATCAGTGTTCATGGCTTTAGTTTTACTCAACGGTGCAATTAAATTCACTCAGGCAAGATGTCTCACATACAGAGCAGCCAAATTAAATTAACACCCAAAAACTACATTTAAAGCAAGGTTAAAGTTGTGATATAAACCAGCAAAACCAAGGGTATTCAGTGCTAAGGGTTGAGACTGCCCTTAACTCATCCCTAGTGCCAAAGTATCACGTAACATATGGCATGTAATACTTTGTTGAATTACTCCTGAACCCAGCCATAGGACAAACTAAGGACAGTGCACCAGGCACACGTTTAGAATTCAGTTTATGTCACAACATTAACGGTTTGTGTTTACTAATGAACTTTGGAACAATTTTAAATAGAAGAGGATTTTCTGTTTTACACACTTCATCAGGGACAACAACATCTGTAATAAATATCGTATGTAGTGCTAAACAGACAAAACAGTTGATCCCTGTATAAGTCAACATCCTCCATCTTTTTTATCTATATAAAAAAAAAGGAGAGAAAAATAAAACATATATTAAAAAAAACAGAGACTACTCTGAAACTAGAGGATGAATTGTCATCTTCCAAATTCTCTCTCAAAAGAAAAATTGCTGGCTAGACATTACTTCCATAGCAGTGCAACTAAAGAACAACAGTAGCAGCTGCATTAAACTCTCTTCTAGCACACTAAAGAAAAAGTGAATGCATTCTACATCTCTGATTTACATAGCATTCCTTCTTTTCCAGACTAGCAAGGGATTTTATCATTTTAGCGCTTATATCACTCCTGTATAGTCTGCTTGTTTTCCTTTGTAGAGAGAGGGGCAACACCAGTTTCCACCTAGGAACCCCTGAAGAAATGGAAGAAAACAACGCACTCCTGGTGCTACTTCTCCAATACTCTGTTGAAGAAGATAAACTATCCCCTAACCCTAAACACAGAGAAGAAGCTTCTTTGCCCTTACAAAGATACTGTCAAGGGAGGGAATTTGAAGACCATCAAGATCATTTTTTTCCCCAAACAATCTCAAGAAGGTGTTCATATTTAGAGGTCAAAACTATTAAAAAAAGTATTAAAAAAATGGAGATCCCATTATCTGAATCTATTCACTACCCTGAGGCAAAAAAATCGGTCTTTAAGAAGTCATCTCTAATTTTAAGACATTAACTTTATTGTCTGAAATGTATTATGGCCAAGTCTCTTTGATTAGTTTTAAATCAGAATCCTTTAAGATACATCGATCTTACAATGACAACGTGGTTAAATACCTTTATATAAAGGTTTCATATTAGCCAATTTAACTCCTCTCAACAGCCTTTCAGTCAAGTATATTTTCTGTCAACTGCCAACTTAATAACTTACAATGTAAATCTTGGTAAATCCTGTAACTCTCATTAATAAAACGTACACTTTTGTATTGTCTAATAGGCAATAACTGGTCTATGTTATCACATGTTCTATAAGTGTGCATCAAAGATTCATCTAAATAAAAAGTATTTCAGGGAAAAAAAATCTTTTAAAAATCTTACTCTGTTATTCATACTTACGGCCAAAAAGAAAAATTCTAATGAAGTTACAATCACCAGCACTCAAGTAAGGTTTAACAATACATCAGTTTAGGATATTTAAGACAGAAGCTTATGCTTTTGATGTCACTGTCCAACCCCTACCACATGTATGTTTACATTAACTAGGTAAAAATGTAAGATAGAAAACTTATGCAAAATTCTCCCCAAACTGATTATGTAGACATCCTAAAATAGTGCATGGCTGTCTTGGCCAACACAGGACACTTCAAATTATCATTGCCCAGGTGCAATCATAACTGACAATCTGATCCACAGTCTCTGCAGATAATTAAAGACACAAATGATCCCTTCCTTCAAGCAAATACTTAAGAGTACATCTTACACTGCTATTGCCATGGAAGTGGTACAGTAATACCTGCTAATGCAAAAGTTATTTGAGCAAGCCACTTGGGTATAGAGACAAGTAAAAAGTTTAAAAAAAAAGGGGGAAAAAAAAACCCAAAACACACACAAAACAAAAAAACCCCAAAACCAAGAAAATCAAAACCCCCAGAAATATCAACTGCTATGAAAATAGCAGACAGAACACATTAATAACAGATACAAAATGACACATAAAAAACTATCACTTCAATTGATACATAGCACTAGATTGTAAACTAAACACTTTGTGGAAGAGATGTAGGCATTTATATGCAGTTCAATTAGATCTAATTCTCACCATGCACTGGTAGGTGAAATGATAAATTCAGATGTGTAACATGCAGGTATAAAGTTCTACAAACTCCACATCTTTCCATAATATGTGCTATTTGTGCTGAACAGCATCTTCAGTTCTAGCCAGTCCTTTTCAAAGTTAAGGAGCAGAGATTCAAAGGGGACTGAAGTTGGCCAAGAAAATAATTACAAAAATGAAAAATTTCCACATACAAACTGAAGACATCAAGACTCTGACAGATTGGAGAGTGATATACGTACTTAACACTTTCTGCAAAAGGGCAGAGTGTTCAACAGAATTCAAAATTCCATGTCAAGAACAACAGTGAAAGAGTCTTTTATACTTCAAATATGAACTAATTTCTACCTTTTATTCTGTACATTTCAGAAATGGTTGCAAGTACAGTGTTGCATCATACCTGGTTAACTCCAAAACTAGACTAAGGCCATTTCGGAGAAAACCAGCATAATTTTGTAAGAATACTGCTCCAAAAGCGTATTCATTATCTAATGTCCTTTACTTGAACGCAACATCTTTGTTACAACCTAATCCACTGAAAGGTTTCCTAGTGAAGCCTTTCCTCATGTTTATTTTATGCACTGGTCCTGATCGCAGCAATTTTACTTTGATTAGTAATCTAACAACCAGGAGTTTGATGACGTTAGTAAAGAGTGTAAAAGACCTTTAATAAAAGCACAGTTGGATGCTTCAGATGTTAAATATTAACATCCTGAAATTCATTTTTTTTTTTTTGGATTTTGGCGAGGAGGGTTGGGGAGAAGAGCAGGGAAAGAAGAGACACCCCTCAAACCTGCAAATACAATCCATAAAAAACATTAAAGAAAGAGCTCAAAATAGAGCTTGCCTCCAGCAGAGCTTGCAATCAAAGACATGTAGGCAGCAGACCTACCACTTCCCACAAACTGCAGCAAAATACACACTCCCCATGAGTAATCACACCTTTGTTTGCAGGGGAGAGGAAGAAGAGAAGAATAATCGGTGAAAAACAGCTACCAATGTAAAGACATCTATGAAAAGATCACATTCTCCTTTCTTGCCTAGTAGACCATCAGGACAACTAATTACTGAGTTCATATTACATGAAGTTTATCTGAAAAATAAGCCTATGGTTTGAAAAACGAAATACAGCTCTAGACTTCAAAAAAAGCCCTAGAGGTTTTGTGCTGTGAAAGCTGCAGAAACAGGTCAAATTCAATCACAGCCAGTCATGACATTGCACAAATTTAGGTTTACAAAGCTGCTAATGACGTTATGACAGTAGTAATAAAAAACAAACAAAAAAATTCCCCACCAAAAACCAAAACACCACAACATTAAAAAAAAAAAAATATCCACAAATAAAGGCAACTTTTCCTCCTCCAATTTGCAAATTAACCCTTTGAGGAAAAGAAGTATTTCTGGTTAACTAAGATCCACATGAGTGCCATATCTACATTAATCAGAGTTTTCTACCCACCTGCAGTACAACTCAAAGAATTAGCTACACAAAAAAGTCTATAAAACATAACAACGCCCTTTTGGAACAAGTTCTTTTCTACTTCCTATTCAGAGTTTTAATACTTTGGAAGTGCAAAGGCCAATCAAGTTGTGAAGCAGATTAGAAGAATCTGTGAGCAGAGTAAGAACGTAACTAGCAACCATTGCAGAATTAAAAGAGAACCCCATTTAACCAAAGAGAGTGTTTCTTTCACCATCTTAACACAGTGACAAGGAAGATGTTAACCACCTGTATATGTAACACTCTTGACTGCATGTAAAGTTGTTTTAGCTGCTAAGCACAACCACTATCAAAAGGTGCAAAAATTATGGGCAAGGATTTTTCTTTACTAGAAAAGGCAGGAACTTAGGATGCAGGAGAGTTCTCTCACTCCTCAAACTCCCATGAAACATCACTCTGAAGAAGAGTACCATAGATTTCACCCAAATATGTGTATTTGCAAAAATCAAAAAACTCTCACCCCAAAAAACGCAAGTAAAGAGCAGAAGACTAAACAAGTAATCTGTTTTGTGTATACCTATCCAAAAGCATGTTAAATACTATCTAAAGATACTTTCAGGGAACCTCCTCTATTCAATAAAACAGTTTTTGAATTCGGAATATCCAAGGTGTTTTAAAGAAATATGCTTAGCCTGTTTAAAAAAATATCGCAGGGAAGGGGTTTTGTTTTGTTTTACCTTTTTCTTGACTGAACGGCTACTCATAATTTTCTCCACAACAGGACCTTCAGCATCAGCAGATTCCTACATCATAAATACCATATAAGAGTTATAAGAATGCATGTTTGCTACTTAAAGACTTCCTTCATTAGCAAAAACTTCAAATTATTTTTTTGCAACAGGAGTTTAATACACAGGAGGACTTTTTCCCCCTAGCATGAAAACTTAAGAGGATTCAAATAGATCCCATACCATAATAAAGGTTTGAAGGATACTTGTTTAAGGCTGTTTTTAAGAGTTAACACAACTCTAGCTGTCTCAGTAAGGCTGACATGCACAGACACATGGGCAGTTCACCTCTCCTGAAATAACACATGTTTTCAGCACCATACAGTTTAAATATTAGAAGACGTACCAAAACTCTACCTGGTTGTTTCAGTGTCCACACAACAGTTATCAAAATTGCCTGCGATTCTCTATTACATTAATTCACTATTACAACTGCAGGCAAATCTACCAAATTCTCCTTCTGATAAGACACAATTAACAATGGAGATCACATACGGTATTTCAGAGGGCTTAACAAATTGCCAGATGAAATACCGAAGAACATGTATATATTCTCCAATAGGTCATCAGTTAAGTGAAGTAGTTCTTTGAAAATGCACTACAAAACAATGAGATTGTTACAACAGTCATTCCTAAGTTATTACCCCTCATCTTATTCAAACTATTTTATCCATCATTTACATTGCACAGAGAATAAAGTGTGCCCTGCTGGGTACTACAAGGCAGTAATTTCATAAAGGGGTTCTTATGGTGCCTAGCAGCAGGGGACAAGCTTGAGTGGTTTATTAAAGTCACAGAAGCCAGACCACTGAATTCACAGAAGTAAATTCAAGACTCCTAGCAGTCCAGTTTAGGTTTCTTTTAGGTAGAGACCATTAAATTCAAAGAACTGTGATAAACTGTGTATCATCAGTTTGTAAACAAAGCCAGGAATTAATATATTCTTTAAGAATGTAAAAAGCTAACGCCTTCTGGCACACCGTGCCAACCATGGATGAACGTCATTCAGGAAAAGGGCCCATATTTGAATGCTGAATGCTGCAGTTACAGTCGCCTTTCCAGTCCGTTCGCATCTGACCTGTTGCTCCGACTGAGAAGTATTTGAAGGAGAGTCTCTTCCAGCAGTATCAGCATCATCAGCCTCGTCATCAGAAATCTTGAACTCCAGGTCTTCTGTATAACGCTTCCTCTTCACCTGCCTGCTGGAGCGTCGCTTCTAAATAGAAAGCATTGATATTTTTAATGAGAAACAAAGCTGATAAGCAGCAGAATAACTGAGAAAACTTCTTTCTGTTTCTCAAATACACTAGTGTGTAGCGAATGCTAGTATTTTTACAGCAACCTGGTAGAAGCAGTGGAATCAAGACACTACTATTTGAAATTCCTGCCTGTTAGTTGCTCTAAATTTTGTAAAAACAAAACAAAACAAAAACCAACCAAACAACAACAACAAAAAAATCCACTTCATGCCTGTTCTGAGTTGGAAAGTGGTATTTTGTTTTTTTCTTTCTTCTTCTTTTTTTCCTTTTTCTTTTTTTTTTTTTTTTTTTTAGCATTACTAAAACCACGGTAGAAATTAGAAAGTGTATCTCAGAAAGCAATTACAAACCAAGAAGTGGCACCTCTCAGTTCACATCTATGAGAAACTTTGACAGATGGCCAATGCAGGAACCAAACACCACCTTTCCGCAGCATGGCCCACAGTGTTGCTAAGCAGTGACAACACGCTTTCTTGCTCTCCCCATCCGCCCACTTGTACCCGGATTATCTCACAGGGGAAATACAATGAAATACGATTTCCTCACTCCACTGACCCAGCACTGTTCAGAACGACATCCTGCAGCACAGCATGGGAAAAGATTCCAAACTAATAGAAAATGAAAAACTTGAACCACCCTAAATTGAAAACACTGGTTTCTGTATCTCCATACCCTTCATCTCCAAGATGAGGGAAAGCTTCAGAGAAACTGCAGAAAAAAACCCACACAAACAGGCATCTGACAGAATTTGCAACTTGATGCTCAGTGCCAGACACCATTTTCTGCAACAATAAAATTCAATTCCCAGATAGTCTGCATCAGGTTATACCTTTTGAAAAGCTGAGAGGGTATACTGTTGAAGGAAACTGTCAACTAAGTATCAAGTATCTCAATGGACTGATGTATTTATTAAAAAAGACGATGTCGGATATCAACTGTTAGAAAAACATCTTTATGATTAATATGCTACTTATTTTTACATCTTTCTCAGCTTAACATACATCTTCACCAGTACATGCAAATACTTACGTAGCTTGTTTAATAGATCTACGCACCCGGGTCTCTCAATGTACGTAGACAAAATCAAATATTTACTTTTAGATAGCTAATCATACTTTTAAAAACACAAATATCTGATGCATGTCACAAAATTAGAAATTCTTTCTTTAACTGAAAATGAAATTTTTGAGCAAAGGTTAAGTTTACATCACGCTTTTAACCAATGGTGATGTTGCTTCTACCTTTAACACAGTGACTTACGGGGTTTCCCACAAAACTGTAATGATATTTTTATACTTGAAAATACCAGATACCACTTGGCAAATTCGCACCCTCATTTCTATGATCACTGATGAGAAAATAATGAATTTTCTTTCGGCTCAATAGGTAAGTCTTACCATTATTTTTGGTACCAAAAATCTCTTCTTCCACTTCCCTAATAGACAGAATGTCTAAAACATAATGGTAATCCTCTATTTGATTTTTATTGACTTGGTTAGCTTCCTATTTCCTCTTACATCCACAAGAGGCTTTGCAGTTGTTAAGCACTGCTGCCAGAAACTGTGCATACATTTACCTGCATCAGATTATCTTTTACTCATTAACTGATCTATAGGTAGAAAAGTGAGTAATAGGTCTGATAATGGAAGGTAAGAAAATCTGTATGGTAACACACAAAATAAGTATTTTTCCTCTCTAAAGGTAACAACGCATCACTTTATGCATTACATAATATCGTCACAGAAGACTCAGTACGTAACACAAAGAATGCAATGGTGTTTTAGACAACTGCATAATAACAGTCTCAGTTGGGAAACACATAACAAGTTTACTAATTCTAGCTGTCCTAGCGTGTATGGTTGTAACCCTTCCCTAAGTTTACGCAGTGAAGTGAGGGTGCAATATAACATGCACAATGAAAGAAAGTACTAAGAAAACAAAAGTTACCTGAAGTACTTTATTACATTTTAAGTGAAAGTGATGCAAATACCCTAACACTTGTATTTACAAGAAGAAAAAAATATTTCAAATGCAAGGTTTCTCACCCAATTGAATTTCACAAAGTTTTGTCCCACTAGACTGAAAAAATGCAAAACATGCATATATATTGAACTGTAGACAGTACACAATAATCTGCAAATTAAACCAAAAAAAGCCCCATCAGCTCCAAAAGTTTCTTCTACATCTTTTGTCAGCACCATTAATCAGGCTGAGAGAGATCTGTGGCACAGGACAGAAAACCTATTCTTCAAACATTTTAACGTTTGCATGGTGCATCTCAACTTTTCTAATTCAGAATACATGGTTTGCACAAATCAGAAATAACACCCTCTTCTGTTGTTGCTTTTGTTTTTAACTAGAATATACTAGACTGCTCACACTTCATTATAGGCTACATCCTTCTGGAAAACAGTTAAGAGGGAAGGCATAAACCATGTTTGTGTTAGGACAGCACTTTTGCCAACCTCTTCACCAGGCTGCTTTGACCATTCTCAAGTGACCACCATCATCTCTGGTAACTAGAAGCAACACACCCACAACCTGATCTGCAATGGACAAATGCAATGTATTTCAGTAATACCACATGACTATTTAGGAGTCTCATATTTTTCCCATCACAATTTGCCTCTACCCCTTCATGAGGGAATTCTTATTTTTAATGCCTGCTCTGACCACTACCAGCAGAAGCAAGCCAGGAGCTGACTACTTCTTAACATGGCTAATCACAGAGCACACAGAAATTCTTTTATATGCTATTTCTATTTCCAGATTTTCTTTACATGAAATGAATTCTGGACAGAAAGTGATAGGTGTGCAGTGGTCAAGAGAAATTATCAAAGTTAATGACTGGCAGTCCTGTAAAAAGGTCCTTCATCCATTAAAGTAGTGCAGTTACATGTCCCCGACATGCATGTTTCTGACATTCTGCTTTGCCATGTCTTATTCTTGATTTCAGAAGGTTTGCAAAGCCAATACAAGAAGAAACATGAAGCTTATAAGCAAGACTTCATAATGGTACATTAAAGTCTACAGAGCAGAAAATTCAGCACCATAATTGCAACGGTGATGGAAGGGAACACATGAGAACGCAGCAGCACCGTACACATATCCACAGGTAACAAGACTGCAAAGCAAAATTATGAGGATGATACTTGTTTTAGTAAAATAAAATCACCGCGGTGATTTCTAGTTCTCCTCTTCTCGGAACGTCATTCTAAACAACACAGAAAATACCCAAATATCTGTATCTCTGCAACAAAAACCGTGAAAGCTACCATTTTATGCATCTAAATTGTCAAAGGCTACATTGAACTTGAACAATAGTACTACCTGAACCCCTGGATCATCTTCATCTTCAGGATGAGGTGATGGTGGTGGAGTTTTTTCCAAATCTGAGTTTTCAGAACCTTCCTTTCCCTTGTTAACCTTTTTCTTCGCAGCACTAGTTTCTGAATCTGGTTTCTTGTTACTGAAACAGAGGTATTTTTAATGAATATTTGTACAAAAGTATAAGCAAAAGGCGCTTAACAAATTAGTTAATCTGTGAGATGTTTGTTTTCAGTGACTTTGTTATTTTCAACTGCCTTCCTTATTTAAGCATTTAAACATAACTGTAAAATCAATGATGCACGGGCCATCACTATACATTTCCCATTCCTTAACAACAGACACCTCGCTTCTTCCCTTCAAGATCTTAGACAGCGACGCTGAATATGTATTCAACAAGAAACTAAAAACGAGAACTGGAAAGGAAGAGCTGCCCTCTTCAGAACCTGCACTTTCTGAAAGCAATGTTTGGGCAACCTGACGCCTGTGAAGAGGAACAGGATTATGCCTCTGTTTGTCTTGATATTAACTATGCGGACCAGGTGAGCAAAACCAGAGCAAGCGTTACCAAAACAAAGGACAAATGAGAAAATTTTTCATTTTCTTCTACCATTCCTGCGATTTCCAAGCAGAAAGGCTCTTTTGTGTCAGCTCTAAGGGCACCCGTACAGCCTCAACGCATAAAACCATAGCTTGTATGAGGGGAAAAAAACCACTCAGGTGGTATCTCAGCACCTACGTGACACTAGACAGCTATGTCCACTGATGGTAAAGAAAGATTTTGGGGATTGCTTCTCCTCCTCCTCCCCCGTGAAAACATTCACCACCTGAGGAGCTGGGATCGCATGTCTCCAACTGTACTCAGAGGCCTGGAAATGGGTGAGAGTGCACGCACCAAAATCCAGCTTTAAATACATCGTCACCAAAACGTGCATCAAGATGATCTTCAGCATCGTGGGGGTGAAATTTTTAAATGGCAACAAAGAAGAATCAATGGTAAAAGTAAGTAATTTTAAGCACATTTAGCCTTTGAGTCTCGCGTGGGTTTTTGCTAGTCTTTTTTCCCCCTCTGTGGTCAACCTCCCCCAGGCCTGTTACTGATTTGACAGGTTGGTCATGGAAAGTTGCCGAGACGTTCAAGAGCAGAGTTCTGTGGTGAGCACAGGTCACCAAACGTTACGTCAGCTACTTTTATACGGCTTCTGCACCCTCAATGTTTTAATTTCATACCCAAGATGCTGCCTGGGGTTTGTTTTTCCTTTATGATTTCCAGCCTCGTGACTTCTCAAACAAACATCAGCTTTAAGCTTTTCATTTTGATCCGCATGTTGGCCCACTGAAGGCATATTTTGGAGCTGTAATTTAAAATTCCGGAATACAGTTACACAGCGCTTCGGGACCAGGACAACTCGGTTGTAGTAATATCCTCTTTTGCAGCCTGTGTTTAAACTAATGCTGATTTTAAAAACAAAAAAATAGTAGAATTTACAAGTGAAAAGGCTGCGAGTTTGAAAATGAATTTGTATTATCGTGAAATTACAGGGCACAACACGGCTTTCCTCTCAAAAGAACACCTCAAACTGTGATAATTT